CATGATACACACGGAAAATAGGCTTTTCCATACCTGCAAAATTACTCTGTGATGAATTCATACATTGAACTATCGCATGTGTTAAATCATACATGCACTCTTAAATAATTTAAATTCCAAACCTAAATTTAGTTTTTTTGCCAAAACATATAAAAACGTGATAAATGTTTAGCTAATTTTGATGTGGCATCCACGTGTGCAATAGTCATGCTAATGTGGAATCCACGTGTGCTGAAGTCATGCTGACATGGAATCCACATGTACAAAATTGAAACAAAATTGGTGGAATTTCAAAAATACCCTTTTTCCAATACTATTTTTTTAAAATACCACTTTTGTAAATTTATCAAAAAGTCACTACAATTTGAAATTTATCAAAAATATATATGTAAGCTTTATATATATAGCCACAAATTATTTTCATATGTGTGTAAATTTAAAAACCTTATAAAAGCTTTATAAATACCATATAAATACCTTCTTAAAACATTTTAATAACTTCAAATCCCAGTCTAACACAATACTGGCCGATACTCCATAAAGTCTGACAATCTCCTGCACATACTTCTTGGTTAACATTGCCGCTCCATCAGTCTTCTTGATAGCCAGAAAGTGTGCAGACTTGGTTAAACGATCTACAATGACCCAAATAGCATCCTTGAACTGAGACATCGGCAAACCAACTACGAAATCCATCGTAATTATGTCCCACTTCCACTCTAGAATAGGAAGACTCTGCAGTAGACTACTTGGCACCTAATGCTCAGCCTTCTCTAGCTGACACACATCACACTCATACACCCACTTAGCCACGTCTTTCTTCATAACCCAATTGTAGTACCTTTCCAGTTCTCTGTACATCTTGGTTGATTCTGTATGAATAGAGAACATTCTCCCATGAGCCTCACTTATAATCTCACGCCTTAAACCCTCATTCTTGGGAACACAAAACCGCCCATGCACAAGAATAGTCTTGTTGGCTGCAACCTGATACTCTAAATCTATATCCTTAGAAGTACTAACCA